AGTATTATACTAAATACGTGTAAATTGAATTATATCGAAAGGCATATAATATACATTATATTCTACACATACGTACATATCATATAGGTAAAAATATATTTTTATTTTGCGTCTCGAAGGAAATCAAAAACTTGGAGATATATTTTTCACGTATTCTACTACTCACGCAAGAATGGGCTTTTTTTGACGGCAGAGCCAGATTGCAGTGTAGGTACACGTATATAGGTACCTACGTGTTGTAATGGATTCGCCGACCAAACAACCACATACGGTGTGCGTGATTTGTGTTCAACGAACTGAGAAAAATAATAACGAAATAAAAAGAGACGACAGAACTATCCTGGCCGAGTTTAATGAGCCAAGCACAAAAGCTCTTCTTTTTCCCCTCTTTTATTCTCACTCTGTTTGGACCCTCGTGAACGCAGTGGCAATTCATCAGATGTAGCTAATTTCAAATCGCCATCTATATGATATATATAACTTCAATACATCGTTAAAAGAACTATTATGTACCTACACTCTACAGCAAAAATAAAACCGTGTAAGTAATGTAGCCATTGTAGGTGTACCTACGTGTTTGGTTTTTTTTTCGGAAATATCATGTCTTCGAAAATAACACGTGAAAATTCATAGATATACGTAGAAGAAATCAAAAAATAATTAGCTGTAATACTTTAAAAATGTGTTTTATATCTATTATTTTTATGGATAATTTAATGTCTTTGAAAAATTGTAATCACCGTTAATATGTATTAACCCCGAATAAAAATACCACATCATTTCATCGCACTGTAGTAATATATCGTCAAACATGTGACATATATATTATTCTAACTTCTAAGACTTTGTAAACTATAATAAATAACTGTAAATATAAAGTACAACGTTTTGTGGGGCTGGACCTAGTGCTTAACGATTCGTATATGAGACTGTTTATATAATAAATGACCGTCGTCGGAGAGAAGTTTGTTCGCCTACAAAGGTCTAATAATTTTATGATGTAGCGACATTTGACTAATATTTCATAAACTTATGAGCACTTCGAGTAAAATATGCGTAAAATCAGATGAAATACGAAACGATTAAAATAAACACTCGTAAGAAGCGCTAATAAAGTGAATAATATATAAATCATTTCCAATGCCATTATAATATTTTCAATATATTAGACTATAAATATAATATTAAAACAAAAACATTTTTTACATTTTTCTTGTATAATTCAGATATATTCTGACTACACTTCGTATATAATCGATTCATTTTTATATATTAATTATTAACAAATCATTCTAAAACCAATTAATTTCTTAACACTAGTTTAATAAAGTAAAAAATTTTAAAACCGCAATGTCCTTCAATTAACATAATATAATTTTATATAGATAGCTTATAAAATATCTACTTAAGTTTTTAATCAATAATTGTTGATTAATAAAATTAACATATTTCATGAGAACGTTTTAAATAACACCTTACTATATAAGACCTTTGATATTAATTGTAATGAAAATTTCACGAGATCAAAATATATTATAATACGATGATAATTAAGCATTCAAAATAAATCTAAAACCGATTGATTAAGCTGCACGATAATACAATCACAAATATATATTATATTTATACAAGACTGATATCGAAAACAGGAAATAACCACCGAAGTGAAATATATATATACATATAGAATGAACAATGATTTAAATTAATAACGATGTAAACTTATATACAATAAGAAGCCAATCAGCTACATATAGTAATATTTAGACACAAATATAATCTTCATTACCGTTTGTAAATCGAGCGCAAGTTAGTTTTCCCTCGATAAGTTGATACGATACGCCTTATTATGGATCATAGTGGATACTAGTATTATACAACCTATATATTTTAGATTGAACTGAAAACTTTCAAAGAAAATAAACAGAAAAAATTATAGTGTTGTTCATTGTGACTTACATTATTAGATGAGTAACTTGGCGCCAAAAAGTGTTAACTTCGAGCCTATATAGATGTGTGATAAATTAGTTTTTACTACAGCTATAAGCACAGTTAGTATATGAATGCAAGACGATAAAAAAGCCAAGCATGTTGATCGATTGCATGTAAATATTGTAACACACGCATAAGTACAAAATATAAGCAATCTATTTTAACTAAATATTATAAATAACTTAGTAAGAACATCAAATTTCCAAAAAACATACCAAATAAAAATGTTCAACTCCAAGGAGCTATTATAACTAACTTAAATACGGATAACGTACTACGATTCATAAATCATTACATTGACAATAAGCTAAATGGCCGCAATAATAACTTTATTTTTGCGTACAAAAAAAAAAAAAAATTATTGCGAAATAAAAAACAATTCAAAAAAAATTCTAAATCAATTTGATTTGTTTGTATTGTATTATTATGATTTATAATAAATTCAAAACTAAAATATATTATAATCTAAGATATTCCTGTTTTAATGCTACATATTATATTATGACCTATACTTTAAAGCAATTTCTTTCAGATGACTTAATAAAAATCGATTTATATTATTACTCTTAATACTATGAAGTTTAGGTTTTTGTTTCTTTATATTTTTATTTACAATATTTTTTGTAGATATAGACTTTTCAATATGCCTGTACACTAACTATATTTATTCAATCAAAAGTAATATGTAAACTTTTCATTGAGTTTTAAAACTCTATTCAAGTATAGAACAAAAAAATCAAATAAATCAAAGTTTTATTGTTTTCTATAGAGGTAAAAACCTGCTTAAAAAATAAAGTAGTTACAAATTAAATCATCTTATAAAATAATAAATCAACTACACTATACATAATACTAAAAACATAAGTAAATTGTATAAATGAATAATAAACCAAAAAAAAAAAAATAAATAAAAGAATGGGGAAAATACAATGTACTTGAAAATAAAATACATGTCAAAATGAAGAAAACATCATCACTTTAGAATGCAATTTGAATATAAGAATTTTGTATGACAGCCAGTATATACTATTTTTGTTTTTTTTTTTTTTTTTATTTTTAAATAAAAGTAAATAAGTCGATTTCAAATTTTAAACGGCAAGTTTTCTACAAATAATATACTTGTAGATATATTATACGAATAACTCTAATTAATTATTCTATTATAATCATATTTGGATAAACATCAAGAAGAAGAAAATTATGTCCAAACATAATAACATAGTTAGTACGCTAAAAATGAACGTACACAACGTAAAAGAAACTGCCGTGGTCTTGGTTACAATATTATAGAAGTTTAATAATATAATAAACTTACTGGGAGTAAAAATCGATAAAAATCTTTTATACAAAAAACCTCGGGGTTTGAAATGTTCGTTTCCTTGTATAGTTTCTATGATAAATAAAATATTATAATTTATGCGTCGAAAATTATTTTCACCAACATTATATCAATAACATATAATATCAGGTTGCATTGTGTTTTTTTTTTTTGATCGTCTAATCGATCTAAAACTTAAGGTGTTGGTGTTGGGGAGGAGAGGTTGAGAGGATTACATGTTTTCCTATCCGATTTCATGTTTACAGCTCTAAAAAAAAACCGATCGTACCCATATATCGCAAAAAGTAATATAATAAATTATAATATATTATTTGCATAAATGGCACAACAGCTACAGTTGCTGCCCACACAACAGTCGATCCAAGTAATTCATCTAATGCTACGCCGATTAGCCGGCCGCAAGGCGATAGTAAACGCATACACATTATTAAAACTATCGTAAATCACCAGATCCAATAATTAGTTGTACACGCACTTCAACCTGTCGATACGCAGTCCTTCAATATACATTTAACAACAGTAGTATTACAGACAAGCTTATTATATTTTATTATTATTTTTTGTACTCGCCCATTATGACTTACGATAATTTTTTTATAAAAAATCTTACAATGGTATAACATCGATAACGAATCATTTGTAAATAAATACATGTTATACAGAATAAAACATTTATGCTCAATCCTATTATTATTTTTTTCGATATCATGATAATCTATTCAAATACTAAGTTTCAGAATATTGAAATAGGTACGTCATCTAAGAATTTTACGAGTTTCGAGTGGTAATACAAATTTTTTCTGAACATTTTTATACTGTAAATTGTAACTTATAACAATTAATGGTTGTTTTAAAAATGATAACATTTACGAACCAACCTTTAAACGAGTAATTTTTAAATTATTAGATTTTTTTGTACTGAAGATTATTAGCTTATGTTAATTGATTTAAATGTGTTTTAAAAATAATAATAATTAATGTTTAAATAATAAAAAATTTCTTAGTATAATAGACAAAATATTACAACTATATTTTATTTTTGATGTAAAATCGTTATTCCTGATTAGTATCCTAAATATATTAAGTTGTATAACTCAATTTAAATATTTCAAGTTTGTCAATAAATAAGAAAACATTTATATTAAAAAGAGCGGTTTTCATTTGAAAAAGTGGTTTGTAACACCATATGACACTTATTAAATGGTAGATAAAATCGTAGTGTCTGAAAATATCATTTTAAAGTATGATAAATTATATTTAAAAATTCAGAATTTGAACAAAAATCAGTTAACACGTCATTACATTATAACAGATTAATGCGTACCCAAAGTTTTCTCTATTTCTCGAAATTACTTTATTATAACAAACACACAACGTAATATAACATATAAAAAAAATCTGCCACGATAACATAAAGTCGATCAATGGTTTCAAGACAGCTAATTACTGCATAGACACTAAACGCAATTGGTTGGTATTTTAGTACAAGATCGAATTCGTCAACGAGCAACACATAACATCGTAATATGCAGTAAATATTTCTGGTTTTGATGTGTTTACAAAAGCACGGGTCAAATGAAAATTAAATTATCTTCCATATTCAAATAAACGCCCAATACCATTATGCTCATTATAATTATATTATTAAATACAAATTGTAATATTTTACCTGGTGATTTCTTCGACCAGTTTACATGGATCGGCGGCATAAAATTTCACACCAAAGTAAAACGTGAAATTTTCATTACCTAAAACATAAAATATTATTTATTTATTTTTGAGACAAACCGACAATACAGTATAATACGCGCGGTTTCTGTGTAAAAAACTAGAGAAACCAGAGAGATTAATTATACAATATGTTTAATTCTGAGTACCTATGTGTTATGTTTGTGAGCCATACAAGTCAGTACAACACGTACAAGGCATACGATATAATATAATGAAGGGTAATCGGATATAGGTGTGTATACAAAATACCACCCACTCGTCGTACATAGTGATGGCGCCTAGTGTGTATGGGGTAGGTGGACCAATTAGTCAACATGGTGCATCAAACTTTATACCAATAATGTTGACTTTCCCAGTGGAATTAACTTTTAGAATGTACCTAATAATACTAAATTCATCATTTTAGAACTGCGTGTAGCTATTAGCTAGTGGACCACTAAAAACTGAAAATAAAAAATAAAAAAATAATATCTTTCCGAGAATTCTTTAATGAAAGAAACGTTTTCCCACAAAATTGATCTTAAAAAGCGTTCGTGATTTATTTTACTTATTTTTTTTCTTTACGAACATAAAGAAGTCTCTCCGTTTTTATATTGCCAATAAAACGAAATGCGATATTTACCTGCCCAACTACTCTTCAACGGATTTCTACTATCTACACCCACCCGCATACGCGGAAATATCCGGCGTAATTAATGTCATAAAATTAATTACAAGCACGTTTTACAACTACTTAAAATACGAGCAAAAGTAATGGACGCCCAAATTGGTTTCCACCAGTAAGTACTCGTTATTAAAAAAAAATATTGATCTCCTTTTTCTATTTTTCTCTTTCTTTCTCTTGCGAAGACTTCATTTTTGTCTTAGTTGTTCACTTATACTATTTTTGATTGAAGACAACCATTCTAATATAATTTTAGTTTTTTCTTTATTAATTTTTAATTATTTTTTACATTTAAATCTGCTAGAAATCGTGGACTTATAAAATTAAATTTTTTAATTTCAAGCTACAAAACACGCATATGGTGTAAGATGTAAGAAATCGATAAAACCATATAATTTTAAAACGATAAAATAAACTGAATTCTCGTAATTATTAGTTATTTCAAATTAAATTATTTTTTCGTAAATCGACACGGTTTTTAGACAGATCGATTAAGTACGATATACAAGTTATGTCATGCCTAAATATTATAATTTATATATTATATAAATAAAAATCATTTTTAGAATACTAGATATAAATATGATTTATGATGACAAGTGTCTTACTGTTAATTACTGAAACGAGTATCTACTCGTAAAAGTTTGTTTTGACTCTCAGTGTACAATGATCAATTTTATCGTTTTTGAAAAAGATAAATATATCAATTTTACTACGAAATATTACTATGGAATTGTATCGGATTATTGCGCGTTTCGAAATAATTCCGGTATATATTTTATTATAATATAGCTCGAGTACGAGGAGGAAAGAGCCGCAACCGATACGCGTATTACGACCCATAAATCACGAGTGTTGGCGATTTTAATCGAAATGTTTTTTACTGCCATTAAAATTCCCGGGTCGAGAGAGCGGTGGCGTATATGAGTATGTTTGTAGTATCCAGTAAGTAATAACATGCACAGCAGTTACGATATTATTACTACTATTATTATTATTATTGCTATAGTATTAGCAGGGGGTATACAAAGACTAGTCTAGCGTAATGTTATAGATTTTAAGGATATCGACGATCACGATCATAACATTTAATACAGTGGCATTAAGTATAAATGAGGATTCATCAAAAATGCTATTTATTAATATAATATTTATAATAATAATAACTTTTGAAATTTTTAAGCAAAGATACTTAAATTATTCGGAAGGTGCTTTTTATTGAAAATATTGATAATTTTATTTTAAAACTTGAACCCAGTTGTTTCTATAAGTCACCAAACTTAAAATACTATGATCATATAGTCTATTAAATAGACTTAAAATATTCAGAGGCAGTGATGATTTTAAAACTATAGAAATGAGCATAAATTTACTAATTTATAAACAATTTTCAAGTACCCATACATTTATATCGTACATAAAACCATTATTAAAGACCGTTATTCTTATAGTAAATTTAGTTTAATAACTCAGAAAGTACTCGTTCAAATTTTAATTCAGATGCATTTTAAAAAGAATCATCTATCTAATAGTTCATGGTAGAAAATAAAAAAGTTTGTACCAAAAACACGAAATTCCTCAAATGGTCAAAAAAAATCCATGTATTTTTCAGTACATTATTATTTAAAAATATTATAAGACCAAAAATTTTAATCAATGGGTTATTAGAGAATAAAAGAGAAGTAGCGTACTCAGTGATTTAATTTTATATATGCATAAGGCGTAGCCACCGGTTCGGTTTCCAGAATATTCAGTTATAAATCTATAGCAGTTGTGATTTTAAAATATATAATATAATATGTATCCATACGCTCGTTATGATGAAAAAAAATGGACTGAACACACACTCGCTGTTGACAAGGGTTGTAGCCCAAGCTTATTAAACGCAACTATACAATTATTACGGTTTTAACGCGTAAATACCGCGCGACTAACCCCATTAATAAGCCTCGAAGCCCCCCTCTCTACTGGCTACTCACCACCGGAGTGTCACGCGTGTTCATAATATTTATGTGTATAATCAAAAATATCCGATTTAATACGTTATATATGTCCCCCTCTTTTGGACGTAAATAAAGGTTAGTACCACGCGCGGAAGACGGGAGGGCTGACCAGAACTGGAGTTGCGGGTTCATCCACGAACTTTCGACCAAAAAGGTTTTAACGCAAAATCGCGCATAACGTATATATGTGAATACGTACCCTTCATTTGTTTATTCATTTTCTTGGACAGATCCAACCAGTGCTGAAACAAAATTATGTAAAATATAAATTATTATCGACTCTGCATGAGTACATAGATATACACACTACACAATTATAATATATATATAATATAAATTATGTACACAATAATTAACAATGTTATACTGTTGTGTTAATATCATGATAATTGAATATATTAACAAAATGTTCCACATATACTATTATATTATTACTAAATAATATGACAAGAGTTGTACCGCGTAGGACATTATTAAGTGCGGAGTACAGAGAAGAAAAATATTTGAAAATCTCTCTCAAAACTAAAATATAAATATATACTCATCAGCTCAAAGATATATATGTATGGTATGTGACTTTGGAAATCCACACAAAAAAAAAAAAAAAATACTTGTATTTTAATCAAAAATCTTCAAATATATTAGCTCTAATAGACATAACTAATGTTCAAATCATATCCTTCATACTATAAGTGTGTTTATGAGTATAGCTCACTATAGCAATTATGACAACGATCAGAAATCAAGATCTGATCTAACTCAAGCTTAAATTAACTAAAAACTAAATTTTGTAGTTTTTATTCTTATTGGTGGTGTTTAATCGTATAAACTGATATAAAAATAAAGACTTTAAAATACATTTCCATTAGCTAGATCTACGAACTAAGCCTAAATATACATTTCCACTCCATATAGATCTTTACATGCATAAGGTCACTAAAATATCCAGACTTTACTATTTTTCATAAATTAGCTACCTTCATTATCATAAAAACCCTCATTTTCAAACCCTACTATTTATCTCTAATCTCTATCCAGGAGGATCAAGCGACAATGATCCCGACATCTTATTTGATTAATTAAACACCCATAAGCTCTTATTAAACTCATGCCAAAATATCGTCAATGGATGTTTATCCCCCTTCCCAGCAATGAAAAGCTTCGTATTATATATATTCTTTATGCGTATTATTTACAAACGTATGGATTGTAGTTTTCTAAATTTAATAACTATAGAAAAAAAAAATGTAGTTTTAAGAACGTACAAGATAGACATGAATAGTTGTGTAAATCTATTCAAATTTGAAGTAGTCGACTTTTTTGACGATCCTATAAGGATATAAATGATATTATTATCTATTATTCATGAACATTGTTTACCTATAGCAAACAATGGATCTAAGTTTCGGGTGTTATTATAAATATTTACTTATAAAATCTACTTGATATTGCCCACTTATAGACCATAAAATAAATGTATTCTCTGAATTACCGGTTTTATTCACAATATAAAAGTCTGTTTATTCCTCGTTCGACGCACCTCAAAGGTTAAAGCTATATTATCATGATTATTACTCATAAAAATTTTAACTATTCGATGAGAAGTAAAATAATTAAACCTAAGATTATTTGAATAAACAATAATAATAAAATTGTTTAATACACTTAAAAATTAATAAATATTTTTCAAAAATGGTAATTTAACTTACAGTTTGATTTTGTGAATCCAAATAACGAAGACCAAAGTAAGCTGTTTCGAGAAGGCTTAAATGTCTCACGACTACATCAAAAACTTCTTGACCCAAACTCGAACCCTGGAAAATTAAAAATTAAATAAATCACTTTAAAAAAAATAAATTTATTTAAATAAACTCAATTAAATAATAATTGTTTAAATAGAATGTGTAGGTAGGTTTAATAATACAATAGTATAAGAAACAAGATACAAAAATAATTTAATATTATAAAGAATACAGTTATAAATATTATGGTAATTCTAATAAAAACCGTTTTTATGATTTATAAATAAATAGAATAAAAATAATATTCAAAAGACATTTTAAACGAAAAAATAAAAATTGAACTTAACAGAAAAATATTTATACTCAACTGAAACAATAATTATTGATAGTTGATTCACAAAAAACCGAGAAAATGTTTATTTTAAATTTATTCAACAAAAATAATTTGCATAAATACACTAAATGTGAAATATATTATTAATGTAAACTCGAAACATTGTGTTTTTCAGTTTTTATATGGTTTAATACAAATTTATTATTTATTTGATATTTTTACTGAGATATTATTTAGTATGTCAATCACGCTATGGACTCAATAAAGTACTCAAGTGCCTACATTTAGATATAAAAAAGTTTGATGTTTTTCAAGTTAAAACTACAGTCAATAATATGAATAATAAGATAATTGTAATCATATTTATCTAATAATCATCTTCAAATAATAAAATTCATAACTTTATAAGTTACGAATATTTCGGTATAATTATTCAAATATAATTTATTGTATTAAAATGATTACAACTGACCTGCATTTGGATAAATAAGACTATACATTTCAAGATTTAAAACAATAATATCTAAAATAAAATTTACATGGTATTTTTAATAGTACATTTTTTACAACACACTTTATATTTTTCATTCATAATTTATAAGCTTCTGTTTTTTTTTTTTTTTTTTTTTGAATAAATATCTTTCGAATTTGAATTGTGGTCTAAATATATTTATTTCAAATGAAAAATTCCATAACATATACGACTTACTAAAGTAAAATATAAAATATCGAAGTAATACCTTTAAGGTTGGTGATTTTTGAACAACATAAAATCACCGGTGTGGCTCACATAAAACTGTTCATCGGGTAGTTTCTCTTAATAGTATGTAGTATAAAAAAATGAGCTAGACGGTAATAAAAATACGATATGATCTTGGTAATAAAACTTTCAAGTGCGAACTATAGTTCTCGAATAAAGATACTCCGAGTAAGTGTTATTCATTTTAGTTCATTTTTACAACATTTTTCGAGTTCAAACACAAATATCCGACTAATGATAACATTCTACAATACCATGAATCACGAGTTATTCTAACATTTTAATTACCTAAGTAATACCTACTTTATACTTAGATTATACCGCACTAAAAAAAATATTTACTTAGTATTATTTTTAAAAATGTATAGGTACTATTAGGAAAATACTCGTATGTTAATAAGTTAGTAATAATATTTAACAATATGACTTATAATAGAGATAGGTCTATAGTTTCTGACAACGGATTTATCACCCGATTTAAGAACACAAGTTATTGAACTTATAACTTCAAATGAACAGGAATATCCTACAAACGTTTGGAAATTAGCTAGAGTGGTACGGAGAAAAAAGACTTAAGATTGAAAAGGAAAATTCCTGGTACACCATCTGGATCTGCGGTTCTTTCAAGACCTATCTCGATGTCAGCAACACTAATGTAACAATTATTAGGTAAGTCATAACTTAGATAAAGAAGTTTGATATAACTTTTAGAGGAATGAGGAGAGTACACTGAGCTGAAGAACTCAGAAAACAGGACAGGTGTTAGCAATTTACTGAAAAGCAAATCTAGAGAAATCGTTCAAACAAACAGTGTTAGATATATAATTGCCAGACTTAACGCTACAAATTAATTTCTAAAAGTAAATGGAAATATTTTTTAGAGCAGCTTAGGTAGGGCCAATATATTTTTTATAACATTTCTTGGACTCGAATTTATACTAAGCTCGGAGATTAGAAAACTGGGCATACTAGCGCGAATCATTAGAAGATTTGAAAAGGGCACGCGCATATCTTTTAGCCAGAATAATTGATTTAACTTTTTTTTTGAAAACCAAATTGAGAAATTAGAATTTATATACCTTGATATTGGGACGAAGTATTGAATACAGTAATTTATGGCATCACATAGAGCACTAGCGGCGGAATCAACGTTGAGTATTGTCTCAATCCAATTAAAGTTCCCCAGGTATTTTAAAATGTTTGGATAATTAGTTTCTTGAAAGTTATAGTAGTTATGATAAACATTTATAGTTATCATCTCGTTAATTAAGGAAAATACTGTATCCAGCACAGTGCTGGCAGCACTAGGTGAAATAGGTCGCATGGAACAGCAATAGTAGAAAATTTATTAATTTGAATGGTATTATAATAAAAAAAAAAAAAATTAGATTCAATAACTTACTCATGTGGTTAGTAGTTCAGTATTTGGTTTAGTTAAAAAACGTTTAAAAAAATGTAAACAATACAGTAACACTCAAGTAACAGTTACTGCAGACACAGATGGACGCGGAAATGTAAAATACACACAACTCGTTGTTATACGTACCATATTAATACAAAAATGTATTTTCATGTTTTTTTTTGTATATTTTTTTGCTTATGTATATTCTTACAAAAAACTTATTTCGATATATTATTATTGTATATGTTAATTAATGTGTGGTTTTCTCAACGATAATACTACATAATATATTATACATTTATTTCTGTATATAGATTAAAGTATTTCACAAATAAAAAAAATAACTTCGGTTAAAACATGGAAAAAACTTTTAATTTCAATATAATATTATGCGCTATGTTTTTTTTAGACATCTTCAAATTTGTTTCCCAAAGGTACATTCTGCAGATTTTCCCATCGTTTCTGGCCATCGAATCGATATTTATACGAATAATAATGAACCGAAAATTAAAATAAAAACAATTTTCATTCCTTTCCGTTTCATATCATCCTTTTTTCTTCTCTCGCACTCTTACTCTATTTTATTCCACTCTCGTGCATACACACACAAACGCATTTTCAATATTTTATATACACTTCAGGTAGTTACTAGTTTGAATACTTATAGGTATACACATAATAAATAAAACAAAATAACAACACACCAGAATGGGTCCAAGTGTTCTCGGAGAAAATAAACATCGTCGCGGGGGTGAAAAAGAAATTATACTACTCACATTTTTGCACCCGGAAAATAGACCCCACACACATCAACACACACACACACACATGCATAATTCATGAGACGCGAAAACCATCAATCAAACAAAGCCTCGTTTTGGTCAGTGCGCCGTTGCAGTTTATGTCTGTATACTTATATATATAATAAAACTATATAGATAGCTCTTCGCCTTTCCAACGCCGCCGTGCACTTAAGACGTTAACTGCTTTCATACAACATGCACGAAGGGAAGCTGCGTCGTGGATAGGCGTAACATCCAGTTAATATAGAACGACCATGGAAAATTCATTCGTCTGCGGCACACACAATACGCTATAGACTGCCGCGGGATCCTCATCGATTTATCAAAAACGATAAAAGGGTCGCCGAGCAGCAGTTTAATAGGCAATCTCGCCGAAACCGATATGATATTTTCGCATGTTAATATACCACACACGCACGCCACACTCGATCATTTCGGTTAAACTGCAGCAATGGTTTAATAATATCTTTCCCAAGAGTACACAATATTAAATAGCCTCAAATGTTCCTGATAAGATTTTTCTGTTATTCGTTAGTTTTCTTGCAATTTCATATTTAATTTTTCGCGAGAAAATCAAGTGAGTCAAAACCCATTTCAAATATTATAGGTATATATTATGTAGTTTTATTATGAAATAAGTATGTACTTAAGTTCATATACAAGACACTTACAATTTATATTATACAATGAGACAAAGAGTGATTCACAAAGAATGCTCACTTTTCGCTCTTTTTACATTTTAATAATGCATTTATTAAAATTTTGATTTTTAGAATCGTCACGTATATTTACTTAAAGGCCATATTTTTAAGTACTTAGATAAATCTAACCTAACTTAACTTAGTGCTCTATAGTAATGAAAACTTCTGTTTTTAATTTGAAGCCCTATCTTTTTTACCTTCAGTTGTTAACTAGATAGTTATTTTGAAAATCTTGATCAAAATATATCCACATAAAATTTAAACAAATAATTTCTGAGTTATTAAAATGTTTATACTAAAGATAATAGTCTTTAAAAATGACTTTAAATAAAAATCCTTTAAATATTAATATATTTAAACTAATTATGTATTATACTCAATTGATAATCAATTTTAAAAACTTTAAAATATTAATAAACTATCAGATAAATAATTTACAGTAAAAAGAGCAATTTGTACTTGAGGAACAAAAATTGTTAAAATCCTAAAAATTGAAAATATGTTTTACTTAAAAATTCCAAAAATCATGACAATTATGATTCTTTTTTGAATAAATTATTTGATTAAATACATTATTTAAATTAAAAAATAGGGGATAACCATGCTTGATAAATCACTGTGAATAAATATTGTATACCCATACGCCAAGATGTTTTTTATTATTTTACTAAAGACAGCCAACTTCTCAACAAGTGTAACGTTCAAGAGACAAACAGGTATTATATTATTATAGTTTCGTAATATTACAGTTACGCTTATCGCGGACTAATTTTGGCAAGGACGCGAGAGTTGTTTCATTGTCAAAACATGTGATACATGGTCACATGTACTTCCGCTTTGACTTCATCGCGTATGATTTATGACAATTATTATTATTAGTTCACTTGTACTGTGCACTAAGCCCTTTCAACGTAATGATGTAGTTGAAAACTATATGGGTTGCTTACGTGGGCTGGATTTAATAATATCGCGTTTACCCAAAACAGGGTATGTTGGTTCAACCGTAAGAAAAGTGTGTATAATATAGGAACGATTGATGCGAGAAAACGTACAAAACGACTAGTATTGCGAT